GTAAAAATTCTATGTAATAATTGTATGTCAGTGTTGAAAGAAACGATCAATCTGATAAAAAATGGCCGCGAGTTGTTTTGAAAATATGGCGTAAAAGGTTACCAACGGGTATATTCCGTTTGGCGTCGGTTGTATCATTTTTGGCGACTTTATCGCCCTCACCGGCGAAGTGGAAAAATACCAAATATTTTAGTGCCATTTCTAACAACGTATTTAAGCGAAAAATCTTTCTCAACGTATATGTGACAACAGAAATAAATTATAGAAATAAATTAATGCAGAATATGAAATGCGACTGCAGATAACATCAATAGAGTTAATCAATAGGCTTCGACAGTTTGTGCAAAACACGTGCGAAGCACATCACTATCAGAAAATATAATGTAAGGGTAGGTGACACCCGGAGTAAGAGTTAATGCTATTAATAAATAAATTACATTAATTTTCTATTAAAGGTTTTTAGTAAAACTACAGTATTTTTCTTTAGTTGTTTTTACATAAAGTACCTACAACATATTAATGTTTGATCTGCTTTAAATATTGTTTTATAATATATTTTTCTAAGGGTGATATAGGGTTCATCCAAAATTCTTTATAGTTATAATGGTTCCGTGAGTCGACAATGTTTGAAGACTACTGTATTACAGGAATCTCTAAACTCAAAACTTTAAATACAGTGGCTCACACAGGCACTTATTAAGAAATATCATATATTTTTTTCTTCTCTCTAACTCACTTTGGAGAATATTTAGGAATTTTGTTAATTTCTGGGCCTTGGTATAATTACAGCAAGCGATTACATAGGACTGTATGTTTAAGACTGTTATACTGATAGAGTTTAAATGTATTTTGCATTCCAGGTTTTCTTGCAGATGCTTTCAGGTTTTCATTAAGCACATTTGTATATTTATACAAATCCATATTATTTTCGATAAACACTAAATTTCCTATTCTAAAGGTACCAAACCATTATGATTCTACCCCCTCCCCCGTGCATAACAGCTGGCAACACGTTTCTTTATTTCAACTCTTAATTCGGCTTTTGCCATATATGCTCTGTCCCAAAAGTTTATAGACTCAACTATATTACGTGTTTTGGATAAATAGAAAGGAACACAGACTCCAAATAAAAATGTGTTTATTTACATCACATGCGACTTGCATTCCAGTAAATATTCAACTAAAATAGCAATTTGTAGTTTAGAAAAAAAACGCAGAAGAATATGCGTCCCAAAAGTTTAAAGCATGTTAGCATTTTAAAAACTTGTGATCAGTTTCAAATTATTTAGTATTTCAGAGTCGCCTCATTATTACGTATGACGTCGAATACATATTTCTCCGACGAGAGAACTAACTTTTGTAGTAACTCTGGTTCCACATGGTACCATGCACTCTCGATAATTCCTTTTAAGGCATTCGCAGAAAACAAACTGCCTTCCATTCTCGTAAACTCCCCGAGACATAATATTCCACATATTCTCGATCGGGTTAAAATCGGGACTCATTTGGTGGCCACTTAAAAACAGTGACGTTTTCCATGTCTAAGTAACTATTTTGTAGTATTAGAGGTGTGAATAGGAGCATTAAAATGCTGTTGCACCCAAACTCTGTCTTCCAGTGTTTTCCGCAAATAGCATAAGATGGTTTCTTTTAGTGTTTGTATGTATTTAAACGAACCTTGTTGACCATCTAGAAAGGTAAAACTCACTTGCTCGTTCAAATCGAAAGCTGTCCACATCATAACAGTTTTTCTTACACGGTTTCTATTAAATAGCTCCAAGGCTCTTTTCCTAATTAATGCCAGTAATATGAATACCCATCAGGACCATCTAGATTCCATTTTTTTCATCATTGAAAATGATATAGATCCATTTTTCACCATATGCCATGTGGTTATAAGCCCATTGCAATCTCATTCGTTTGTGAAGCTTCGACGGCAGTAATAATTGAGCCATTTTGACATGAATCATACAACCAGATTCCTTGATTCGCTTGTGAGCAGTGTTTTTGGATGTTTTCAATACACTAGTCAGTTCGCACTTGTAATTTGGTAAACCAACTTTTTCTGTGTCGAAGACATTCTTTGTATTCGCCAATCGCTGCGACTATCCGTCACTCGAGTTCTTCCTGAAGAGTTCTTTTGGCTGCTATGGCGTCTTACGAGACATTACACGATAAATCATGCTTACAAATAGATTCAGAAGTTTCGAAATTTCTTTAACAGACCTACAGTGAAAGTTAAAGTTCAGAATCCTGTTAATTTCAGCAACAGAAAGTTGAGTAGCTTTAGGTTTACTAAAACGCAGTTCAAATTATCATTTGGAAGTTACAATGAGAGTGTTATCTTATAAAAAGACTCAATTTCCCCATCATAATTGTTACTAACCAATTTACATAAAATTACATTTATAGCATAAGTTACATTTATTTAACTTTTGAGTCCCACATTTTTTTTTTAAAGACAAATTGATATTTTTGTTAAATATTTTGCATTTATATTGCAAGACACGTCCGTTTTAAATAAACATATTTTAATTGGGTAATTTCATAAATTTTTCTCAAACATGTCATTTAATTGAGTCTATAAACGTTTGGGACAGAGTATACTAATTCCTCTGTCTGACCCAAATATATTAAATATTTACTTTTCTGCAAATATAACATTGCTCTAATATGGTAAAACTTTGCTTAGTATATGTAGCTTTTGTGAACGCTTGGTATATTTTCCTTGTTTTATTGTTTACGAAACATTTTCTCCTTGCTGATCGCCAACTGCATCTCTATGTCTTAAATGACTTCAGAATTAACTTTTATTACAAGGTATTCTTGTAAATCTAATAAATATTTTACTTTTCGAATTATTGGCTTTCGTTTGATTTCACCCCTCTCCGAAATCAACTCTTAGCTACAGCCATTTCTTAACTACTCCGTAGGCCTTAAATAATCCATAAATAATTAGAGATGAATGTGCAGCTGATTCAGCAGAGTCGTAGACTGAATGTGAGTTCAGTGTTTGCTTCGCTGTGATGAGTGGTTTCTTTTCCTTTTCTGCATAAATTTCAACACTTGAAAGTTAAGGTTCAGTGTGATCTCCGCAGATATTTTTTGAGGATTTGTTTTTGTTAGTAAGACAAAACAATCACTACGTAGGCAAATGTACACTCTTTTGCAAAACACTCGAAGCTCCAAGAAGGACTTTTGCCATCGTAAGGAAGTTTGGTATGCAACAACATCTTGATCTAACATGCAAATGATCAAAATTTCAAGGCAAATGAACAGGAATTGCAATGATAGCGCGCATTTCGCAATGTATAAAACCAATAACAGAGGCGGAAAAATTATCTTCTTTTGTTGCTGCCATTGTAATTCCATAAAGAAGCAACTAAAGATGCCATTACGACGATATCGAAGACCTTACAGACAACTAAATGACTTCGAACATGGTCACATTGTAGGATTGTGTGAAACTGGGTGGTCAAACCGAGCAATAGGCCGCCACCTGCAGCGTACAGACACTGCTGTGCAAAGATATTGGCAGCAATGTTTGCTACAAGGAAATTGCCGACGAAATGAAGGCTTTGAAAGGCCAAGGAGGACAAATGCGAGGCAAGCTAGGATGATTGTTCGCCAGGCACGAACCGCCCCAACGGTATCATTGTCGACTAGTTAACGCACCACCATCTCACGGCCCTTGTCTGAGGCGGGGTTACGCTCACAGAGGCCTTTAAGACGTTTACTTTGACCCCACAACATCGGCGAAGTCGTCTGGAGTGGTGTCGCAGCCGATCATCTTGGCTGCCATCAGAATGGCATCGTATAGTGTTCAGCGATGAATCCCGCTTCACTCTTGAAGCAAATGACCACCGTGTTCGTGTCTGGAGAGGACGTGGCTAGCGGTCTCAGTCCTCCTTTGTTTTACAAAGGCGTACAGCCATAACCCTCTGGTATGATGGTGGGGGGCGCTATTTCTTATGACAGCAGGTCATCTTTAGTCATCCTCCGTATATCTCTAACAGCTCAACGATATGTTGACAGCATCCTTCTTCATGGCATGTCATTCTGGGACCATTATATAACAAGATAATGCCAGGCCACATACCGCTCGCAAATCTCTGGACTGTCTCCGTGCGGACGTGTCTCCGTGCCAAGGAAGACCGTATACTCTTCCTTGGCCAGCAAGGTCACCAGATTCTTCACCTATCCGAGCATGTCTGGAGCATGGTAGGCCGCCAGATTCGGGCACTGCAAAATATCGCAGATCTGGAGCGACAACTGATGAATGCCTGGCAGAATTGTCGTAGGATGACATTAGGAAACTACCACTCCTTTCATCGACGAATTCAAGCATGCATTGTCGTCAGGGGGGGGGTTCGACCAATTACTAATTTGAACACTCAATGGGTGATTCTGAGCCGTGAACAGATATTATAACCTTGATTTTTTAATCATTTTATTATCTGTGTATGAGCTATACACTTGTTCAACAACTTCCTTCCTGGTGCTTCGATTTTTTGCGAAAGAGTGTATTTTAAAATTGAGCTCGCTCTCTGAACGCATTAAGAAAAGGGAAAATTTACGCGAGCATTTGTTTAATTTTTAAGAATCTGCTTCTAAAATGCTAATGGGAAAATACGCGTGGAAATACATTAATGGCAAGGAATTTCGTTTTGTGTCTGATGTCATCATGATTGCACAAACGTAAGGGAAGAAACACACAAGAACTTTAATAGATTTATCCAAAAAATAAATACATTTTATACAATATAAATATATTACATGAATGCTGGAGAATGAAATACGTGTAAATACACAAACGTGACTTTTATAAATCAGTATTTTCTACATTATTACGTTAAACAGATCAACTGGACGTGCTGTCGTTGGCCAAACCATCCTATGCCCATCTAAAACTTTGTCACAAAATTCTACATCTTAACTTAGTGAATACATATTTATTACAATTATGCTGAAAATAAAACAAAAATTTCAAATAAACTTACCATTTCGTGGATAAGGTTGTAATACAAATTCTTTATAGCAATCTGCTTCTTCTAGAGATCGTGTATCTTTAGAAAACGTGCTTCCAGAGGATCCATTGCTTTTGTCCAATACCAGAAAGACACTTTCTTGAAACATCTTCCTTTGCTGGAATATGTTCCGTTTCTTGGTGTCTTTTATAGTTCTCTGGTACACATCCACTCCATATTGCTCCTGGACAAGTATGTATGTTGAATTACAATTTACAAATTACAACTTGCAGCTGAATTAAAACTTCTACTTTTTCACTCTTGATGCTTGATAATACACGCAGATTTATTGCATAAATGCAAATAAAATTTTTATTTCAGGAATCATGAACGTAAATTTTCTTTACAACAATTATCTGATTGCAGTCTGTTAAAACATGCTGAAATGATTTTCAGCTAACCGGACATTTACGTTGCATGCATATTATTATTAATTTCGTGTCAAGTGACCAACAAATCAATATAATTTGAGAAATATTTATATTTTCACACTATAAGCGTCTAAAAAGTGTTAGTATTGTAAAGCACGCGTTAAAAGCATTGAATAAGCGACAAGTTTCCGATGATCACGATATTCAAGTATTAGAAGTGATGGTCTGGATAATTACAGAATGCAGTATCTCTAATTGTTAGCTTAGTTTTTTATATATATTATAAATAAAACGCATTTATGTGTGCCTATATATTAAATATTTTTGATAATTGCAGGAACCTTCTGGAAAAATACTTATATCGTTGTGTGGACAGAAAGCAATTAAACGGTGTTGACATATATAATGGGCAAAAATGATTATTGCACTTATTATACATAAATATTCAATTATATAGTTTAAAATGCATTTTTCTAAATGAATAGTGTTTTACTTAGAAATTAGTTTCATATTTATTAAGCTTTTTCAAATTTTATGCTCATACATACATGATATACCGTGATTTGAATTCAAAATAATGGTAGAAATGACAAACCTAGGATATTAACTATTAATCAAAATCTTCAGCTTCGTCAATTTGGCTAGGTAAATTTTCTGGCATTTCGCGTAGTTGTTTAACGAGTTTATTAATATTATAAGAAAGATTTTAATTTAATTACTTTAAAAATTTATCCATTTTCTTACTAGTTTACATATGCGCTGTCATCTAGCTTTGAAAGATGAAATGAAATTCACAGTTGACGTCTTTGGAGATTTTCTTTTAGAAAATAAGTCTCACCAAGCTTTAGGCAGAATAAATTTTTAAAGAGGGTTTCGTTTACAGGTAAGTTTTTCTGTCGCAAGATAGTATATGGTATTAAAAATTAACACGTGCAACTCAATTTATCAATGTCCCTCTTCCACTGAAACAGTAAATAACTTGTTTGTTAACATCAGATGAATTGTTTTTTATTTCGGAAAATATACCGATTTTTGCTAAATATACTTTATAATTAATTCGCTTGATCACACCGAACATCTTCAGTACATGTAAGAGAGAGAGAGAGAATGAGCACATATCATCATGTTAATATATTCGTATATATTACGTTACAATTTTCTGGCAATACGTTTAGTATTCAATCTTTATCAAAAGTGCTAGTATGATTTAAATAATGAAACATATCATTGAAACTAATTATAATTATTCAACTTTTATTCTCTTCTATAAAATTTCTTCGTCAAGAAACTCCTAATTACTCACAGAGCAACCAAGAAAATTTCACTTTTAATAAATCCCTGCAATAAAAAAGAATGAACGTTAAATAACAATTAAAATTTCAGAATTTAATAATCTCTAGAAAAACATATATAAAACATTCCTTTCAAACATCAAAAGTAATGCTGAAATTTCTAACATATCCTCTAGATCTGCACTCTAGAATACTAAGTAGCAAAAGCTTTAATATTATTAATACTGTAGAGTATTCATTTATTTTATGTTAATTAGAGTTTCTGTCTGCCTCGCTTTCCATTTTTTCTGCCAAAGTATTAATTTATTAATTTGAGGGCAAAGAAGGAAGAGGTAATATTTAAAGGTAGGTTTTAGATATTAGAGTCATAGATAGCATCTGCCACCTGTTGAAGGCCACGCTGCTAGTTGATTTTCTTGACAGCAGGTTATCTGCGGAGTTGCGTGTATTTCTACATTAGGCTTGTCACACCGATATTAGATTTTGAACCAACTTGCGCGACCTTATCTGTGTAGCCTTGGAACTAATTTTATGATTAACTTAGCTTAATTTCAATTCGTTATTTTTTTTTTTTTTTTTTTTTTTTTTTTTTTTTTTTTACGTCTTAAAAGTTGGTTGTTTCTGTAAGCATAAGACATGCCTTCTGTTAACTTTTCTTCGAGTTAAATAAAAATGTCTTTTATACCCTTCACAGTCTCTGGTGTAATTTCTAAGACATAGTGATAAGCTGCTTACGTCTTTGTAAAGTTCTCATCTAGTTTATGTTACCAAAGGGAGTGGGACTCTATAATGCAACCAAACTTCATTATAAGGAACTTCGAAAAACCAGAAGCTTGGTTAGCTATATATCTGGTGGTTCGTTACATCCGATCCCGTAATGAAAAATTAATCCTCTCATTAAAAAAGTGTAAAAATGTCTTAATGACTGTCAAAATAAACGTTTCCGCATTGTGACATATGCTAAAAAAATAAGCGAGAAGCTTAAATATTTCTTAGAAAAGGGGTGTAATGAAGTTTCAACTATAATTTTTATTATTAAGTTATTAAATCTGTTTTTCTTTCAATTCCACTTTTACCATTTTACGTAATAAATTA